CAAATCCCAGCAGTGCCTTGTACGCAGTTGGCTGGCTTTTATGGGCCAGGGACTACCAAAAATTACTTTATCTGCAACAGTGCTAGCAGAAGCAGAGCACCCAGGCTCTGTGGCGCAATGGATAGCGCATTGGACTTCTAGGCTGTTAGCTGAGCCATTCAAAGGTTGTGGGTTCGAGTCCCACCAGAGTCGTAAGCTTTGCCCTTTTTCTTCATTGACTTTGGTGTGGTCCGTTGCCAACATTTTAGGCATCTGTCCATAACGTTTTGCTTCTTTCTTTCGTTGCTTCTTTCTTTCATTTCATTGCATTTTCTGCATCCTGACATGCTGGTTTTTGTTGTGAATTAGTTTCTTTCTTCTTCGATTTTTGTTATCAGGCAAATGTTTCTTACAGTCAATTTTTGTGGCGCTGTGGCTTAGTTGGTCAAAGCGCCTGTCTAGTAAACAGGAGATCCTGGGTTCAAATCCCAGCAGTGCCTTGTCTGCAGTTGGCTGGACTTATGGGCCAGAGACTACCAAAAAGTACTTTATCTGCAACAGTGCTAGTGGAAGCAGAGCACTCGGGCTCTATGGCGGAATGGATAGCGCATTGGACTTCTAGGCTGTTAGCTGAGCCATTCAAAGGTTGTGGGTTCGAGTCCCACCAGAGTCGTAAGCTTTACCCTTATTCTTCACTGACTTTGGTGTGGTCTGTTGCCAACATTTTAGGCATCTGTCCATAACGTTTTGCTTCTTTCTTTCGTTGCTTCTTTCTTTCATTTCATTGCATTTTCTGCATCCTGACATGCTGGTTTTTGTTGTGAATTAGTTTTTTTCTTCTTCGATTTTTGTTATCAGGCAAATGTTTCTTACAGTCAATTTCTGTGGCGCTGTGGCTTAGTTGGTCAAAGCGCCTGTCTAGTAAACAGGAGATCCTGGGTTCAAATCCCAGCAGTGCCTTGTCTGCAGTTGGCTGGACTTATGGGCCAGAGACTACCAAAAAGTACTTTATCTGCAACAGTGCTAGTGGAAGCAGAGCACTCGGGCTCTGTGGCGCAATGGAGAGCGCATTGGACTTCTAGGCTGTTAGCTGAGCCATTCAAAGGTTGTGGGTTCGAGTCCCAACAGAGTCGTAAGCTTTACCCTTAATCTTCACTGACGTTGGTGTGGTCTGTTGCTAACATTTTAGGCATCTGTCCATAACGTTTGGCTTCTTTCTTTTGTTGCTTCTTTCTTTCATTTCATTGCATTTTCTGCATCCTGACATGCTGGTTTTTGTTGTGAATTAGTTTTTTTCTTCTTCGATTTTTGTTATCAGGCAAATGTCTCCTACAGTTAATTTTTGTGGTGCTGTGGCTTAGTTGGTCAAAGCGCCTGTCTTGTAAACAGGAGATCCTGGGTTCAAATCCCAGCAGTGCCTTGTACGCAGTTGGCTGGCTTTTATGGGCCAGAGACTACCTAAAATTACTTTATCTGCAACAGTGCTACATAGAGTAGAGCACTTAGGCTCTATGGGACAATGGATAGTGCATTGGACTTCTAGGATGTGAGCTAAGCCATTCAAAAGCTGTGAGTTCCAGTCCCATCAGAGTCGTAAGGTTTGCCCTTTTTCTTTACTGACTTAGGTGTGGTCCATTGCCAACATTTTAGGCATCTGTCCATAACATTTTGCTTCTTTCTTTCGTTGCTTCTTTCTTTCATTTCATTGCATTTTCTGCATCCTGACATGCTGGTTTTTGTTGTGTATTAGTTTTTTCTTCTTCGATTTTTGTTATCAGGCAAATGTTTCTTACGATTAATTTTTGTGGAGCTGTGGCTTAGTTGGTCAAAGCCCATCTCTAGTAAACAGGAGATCCTGGGTTCAAATCCCAGCAGTGCCTTGTACGCAGTTGGCTGGCTTTTATGGGCCATAGACTACCAAAAATTACTTTATCTGCAACAGTGCTAGTGGAAGCAGAGCTCTCGGGCTCTGTGGCGCAATGGATAGCGCATTGGACTTCTAGGCTGTTAGCTGAGCCATTCAAAGGTTGTGGGTTCGAGTCCCACCAGAGTCGCAAGCTTTGCCCTTTTTCTTCATTGACTTTGGTGTGGTCCGTTGCCAACATTTTAGGCATCTGTCCATAACGTTTTGCTTCTTTCTTTCGTTGCTTCTTTCTTTCATTTCATTGCATTTTCTGCATCCTGACATGCTGGTTTTTGTTGTGAATTAGTTTTTTTCTTCTTCGATTTTTGTTATCAGGCAAATGTCTCCTACAGTTAATTTTTGTGGTGCTGTGGCTTAGTTGGTCAAAGTGCCTGTCTTGTAAACAGGAGATCCTGGGTTCAAATCCCAGCAGTCCCTTGTACGCAGTTGGCTGGCTTTTATGGGCCAGAGACTACCTAAAATTACTTTATCTGCAACAGTGCTAGTGGAAGCAGAGCACTCGGGCTCTGTGGGACAATGGATAGCGCATTGGACTTCTAGGCTGTGAGCTAAGTGATTCAAAAGTTGTGGGTTCGAGTCCCATCAGAGTCGTAAGGTTTACCCTTTTTCTTCACTGACTTAGGTGTGGTCCGTTGCCAAAATTTTAGGCATCTGTCCATAACATTTTGCTTCTTTCTTTCATTTCATTGCATTTTCTGCATCCTGACATGCTGGTTTTTGTTGTGTATTAGTTTTTTCTTCTTCGATTTTTGTTATCAGGCAAATGTTTCTTACAGTCAATTTTTGTGGCGCTGTGGCTTAGTTGGTCAAAGCACCTGTCTAGTAAACAGGAGATCCTGGGTTCAAATCCCAGCAGTGCCTTGTCTGCAGTTGGCTGGACTTATGGGCCAGAGACTACCAAAAAGTACTTTATCTGCAACAGTGCTAGTGGAAGCAGAGCACTCGGGCTCTATGGCGCAATGGATAGCGCATTGGACTTCTAAGCTGTTAGCTGAGCCATTCAAAGGTTGTGGGTTCGAGTCCCACCAGAGTCGTAAGCTTTGCCCTTTTTCTTCACTGACTTTGGTGTGGTCTGTTGCCAACATTTTAGGCATCTGTCCATATTGTTTTGCTTCTTTCTTTCGATGCTTCTTTCTTTCATTTCATTGCATTTTCTGCATTCTGACATGCTGGTTTTTGTTGTGTATTAGTTTTTTCTTCTTCGATTTTTGTTATCAGGCAAATTTCTCCTACAGTTAAATTTACTGGCGCTGAGGCTTAGTTGGTCAAAGCGCCTGTCTTGTAAACAGGAGATCCTGGGTTCAAATCCCAGCAGTGCCTTGTACGCAGTTGGCTGGCTTTTATGGGCCAGAGACTACCTAAAATTACTTTATCTGCAACAGTGCTAGTGGAAGCAGAGCACTCGGGCTCTGTGGCGCAATGGATAGCGCATTGGACTTCTAGGCTGTGAGCTAAGCCATTCAAAAGTTGTGAGTTCCAGTCCCATCAGAGTCGTAAGGTTTGCCCTTTTTCTTCACTGACTTAGGTGTGGTCCGTTGCCAAAATTTTAGGCATCTGTCCATAACATTTTGCTTCTTTCTTTCATTTCATTGCGTTTTCTGCATCCTGACATGCTGGTTTTTGTTGTGTATTAGTTTTTTCTTCTTCGATTTTTGTTATCAGGCAAATGTTTCTTACTGTCAATTTTTGTGGCGCTGTGGCTTAGTTGGTCAAAGCGCCTGTCTAGTAAACAGGAGATCCTGGGTTCAAATCCCAGCAGTGCCTTTTCTGCAGTTGGCTGGACTTATGGGCCAGAGAGTACCAGAAATTACTTTATCTGCAACAGTGCTAGTGGAAGCAGAGCACTCGGGCTCTGTGGCGCAATGGATAGCGCATTGGACTTCTAGGCTGTTAGCTGAGCCATTCAAAGGTTGTGGGTTCGAGTCCCACCAGAGTCGTAAGCTTTGCCCTTTTTCTTCATTGACTTTGGTGTGGTCCGTTGCCAACATTTTAGGCATCTGTCCATAACGTTTTGCTTCTTTCTTTCGTTGCTTCTTTATTTCATTTCATTGCATTTTCTGCATCCTGACATGCTGGTTTTTGTTGTGTATTAGTTTTTTCTTCTTCGATTTTTGTTATCAGGCAAATTTCTCCTACAGTTAAATTTAGTGGCGCTGTGGCTTAGTTGGTCAAAGCACCTGTCTTGTAAACAGGAGATCCTGGGTTCAAATCCCAGCAGTGCCTTGTACGCAGTTGGCTGGCTTTTATGGGCCAGAGACTACCAAAAATTACTTTATCTGCAACAGTGCTAGTGGAAGCAGAGCTCTCGGGCTCTGTGGCGCAATGGATAGCGCATTGGATTTCTAGGCTGTTAGCTGAGCCATTCAAAGGTTGTGGGTTCGAGTCCCACCAGAGTCGTAAGCTTTGCCCTTATTCTTCACTGACTTTGGTGTGGTCCGTTGCCAACATTTTAGGCATCTGTCCATAACGTTTTGCTTCTTTCTTTCGTTGCTTCTTTCTTTCATTTCATTGCATTTTCTGCATCCTGACATGCTGGTTTTTGTTGTGTATTAGTTTTTTCTTCTTCGATTTTTGTTATCAGGCAAATGTTTCTTACAGTCAATTTTTGTGGCGCTGTGGCTTAGTTGGTCAAAGTGCATGTCTAGTAAACAGGAGATCCTGGGTTCAAATCCCAGCAGTGCCTTGTACGCAGTTGGCTGGCTTTTATGGGCCAGAGACTACCAAAAATTACTTTATCTGCAACAGTGCTAGTAGAAGTAGAGCTCTCGGGCTCTGTGGCGCAATGGATAGCGCATTGCTCTGTGGCGCAATGGATAGCGCATTGGACTTCTAGGCTGTTAGCTGAGCCATTCAAAGGTTGTGGGTTCGAGTCCCACCAGAGTCGCAAGTTTTGCCCTATTTCTTCATTGACTTTGGTGTGGTCCGTTGCCAACATTTTAGGCATCTGTCCATAACGTTTTGCTTCTTTCTTTCGTTGCTTCTTTCTTTCATTTCATTGCATTTTCTGCATCCTGACATGCTGGTTTTTGTTGTGAATTAGTTTTTTTCTTCTTCGATTTTTGTTATCAGGCAAATGTTTCTTTCACTTAGTTTTTGTGGCACTGTGGCCTAGCTGGTCAAAGTGCCTGCCTTGTAAACAGGAGATCCTGGGTTCAGATCCCAGCAGTGCCTTGTCTGCAATTGGCTGGCTTTTATGGGCCAGAGACTACCAAAAATTACTTTATCTGCAACAGTGCTACATAGAGCAGAGCACTCAGGCTCTATGGGACAATGGATAGCGCATGATTACGAGCACTGCTCCATTTAAGCCCTCGCAATATGCGTTTAACCGGGAGAGCTCGTACGGAGCTCTTAGTAAGGGACCATCTGAATGTGTCAGGAATATCAAAAACAAAACCAACTTAACCCCGCTTGACAACAGACAATGGCAGAAACATTGCCAATGCTGTCAAAGCATTGTTGTTAATGTGGCTTCGCAGAGAGGCATGGGCGTTCCCCAGATGTCCCGACTCCTCTGCAGAGGAAACTTTTCTGTAACCGTGCTGTGCGCTTTCTGTTTAACCCTTTGGGAGTTAACGTTACGTGCGGACTGACAGGTGCGCGATGCGTGAGGCCAGGAAACAGGACGAAGCTTTCAGTTAAGATGAACACAGTTTCTATAGTTATACTTTATTTAGAGATAAAGGTATATGGCTCTGCATATAATCACTCTATCTTGCTGTAGTTTATAGCCGTTTCGCTTTACTTCAGGATGCATTAATGCCGCTCTGAAGGTCTAATCACTGTTTTAAGTTATCCAGAGCTGTATGAATGTACAAATCATGAATATCACAATAGTATTAAATATTACAATTGTAACAACACAGACAGCAACACTTTTGCACAATCGATACCCAGCTGAATCAGTCGTTTCATAAGAGGACCGCACTTCTTCTCTTCTTTTTTCTTTGTCAACATGAAGGCAGTGAGGTGCGCCTTGTTTTCGCCTTATAAAGCATCTATGCACATTAATGCAATAGCATATTTAAACAACTAAACTGTTAACAAAAAGTCTACATATGCGTGCGTTGTTGTTGTCTTTTCATCACGCAGCGCGCACTTGAACCGCGAGGGAGAGAGAGGAAACCATCAGGACATATTCTATAAATGTTCTTCAGACATATTCTTCAAATGTTATTTAATAAAAAATAGTTTTAAAAATCTTTTTTTTTTCCCACGCCACACAAAAAAAAAAAATCGTGATACGAACCGAATCGTGGGTCAAAAATCGTGATACGAACTGAATCGTGGGTTTGGTGTATCGTTACAGCCCTAATGGCTTTATATAGCATGGTGTGGTAATGCGTAACCAATTGGATTTTAATATTTCAAGTCGAGGCATTCACACATGCAGCGCTACTGTTGGTGGTTTTTTTTCTTTTCTTTTTTCGATTAAAAAATTAGCCCCTGTCACAGCCATCAGGTGCTGTGGCTTAGTTGGTCAAAGCGCCTGTCTTGTAAACAGGAGATCCTGGGTTTGAATACTAGCAGTGCCTTGTCCGCAGTTGGCTGGCTTTTATGGGCCAGAGACTACCAAAAAGTACTTTATCTGCAACAGTGCAGAGTTTTGCCCAGTGTGTGTGTGTTTTGTGATTTGTGTGTAGAGTTCTGACAATATGAGACCTGCTTTCAGAAAATGTGTGTAAACAATTGAAAAAAACTGTAATAGTATAAGAGTGATGGTGGTGGGCAAAATTTTAATGCACATGTTTATTTCTCAGAATAAGAAAATTTTGGCACTAACAACTTTTTACAACATATTAGAAAGATTGAAAAAATGATGCACACTGTGCCTATAACAGAAACTGCTGAGATATTTTTCTTCTGCAATGGATGAAAACAAACAAACACACAATTGTATAATTGTCCAACAGAGGGCAGTCTCTACTTACTTTCCCTCTTTGAGGAAAAAATACCCACATGAAAAAATATTAGCCAATTGTTTTTGCAAATACCAGTGTTTTTGAACCATACTACCGTGTATTATAATATAATAAATATTTACTGTATTATAATATTATATTGTTTATATTTTCTTAATGAACTCTACAGCATAATTCAGTAAGCCTATTAACCCTTTGATGCACAAGCTATAAAATAGATAGAACAAATAAACTTAGACGGGTCACTTTAAACCCATGTAGTGCATCAAAGGGTTAACTAGTGAACTGATGAACTGTGATACTGTTGTTTACTTTAGTTTTTTTTTTAAAGTAAACGGTGGCCTACTATATAGCGTATGTCGTTGGGTCATTTGTTTAAATTACTATAGCTGTTGAATTTACATAGCATAGAATCAAGGGCATAGGTTTGCACTTGACATTGGTAGGGATGGGTGACTCAAACAATATATATATATATATATATATATATATATATATATATATATATATATATATATATATATATATATATATATTTACACACACACACACACACACAAACACACACACACACACACACACACACACACACACACACACACACACACACACACACACACACACACACACACACACACACACACACACACACACACACACACACACACACACACACACACACACACACACACACACACACACACAGATTCATGCCGCTGTGGCGACCCGGGATTAATAAAAGGGACTAAGCCGAAAAGAAAATGACTGAATGAATATACTATGAATATACTGTACACAAACACACACACTGCTATTATTTATTTACTGCTATTAAAATATAGTAAAAATTAATCCTCTTTTGGTACAAATTATTAAGTTTTAGGCCTGTAGCCAGGGGGGATTTGAAAAACCAAAGTTGGATTATTATTATTTTTGAATTTTTCTTATTATTCAAGTGGACAAATTCTGACTAAGGAAAGTTGAATGTTCTGGTCAGTTTTTTGTTATATTAAATGCACACCTAAAATAGTATGGTAAGCAATTTGACAAAATAGTTGGAAATATTTTTTGGTACATCAAAAAATGTGGTTATGATAACCATCTGACAAGATAATCCAGCATAAATGAGTTCTTAAAATGTCACTAAAATGCAATATTTATACCTCAAAATTAAACAGAAAATCAGGCAAATAACTGCAAAAATGTCCAGTTTTTCAGGCCAGAGCAATGTTTAAAATAAAAGAAGTTTATTAACTGATAAAGAGAGAGTTTATTTTAGCCATAGTGCAAATGAAACAAGTCTCTTATAGCTGTAATAGGCCTAAAATAACAGATTAATTCGAATACTTTATTAGTCTGTAATACGGTTGAAAAGCACTACAGTATTCACTATGAATTACTGAAGTATTTTTTGTGACCTTAATCTTTAAAAAAAAGGTTGTTTATTGGCACTGATGGTGCCATGAAAACATTTATGGAGCATTTAAATTCCACAAAACATTCTTTAAAGTGAAAAGATATTTATTATTATTAATATATATAAATATATGCAGTTGAAGTCTGAATTATTTGCCCCCTTTTGATTATTATATATTTTTTATATTTCCCAAATGATGCTTAACAGAGCAAGGAAATTTTCACTGTATGTCTGATAATATTTTTTCTTCTGGAGAAAGTCTTATTTCTTTTACTTTGGCTAGAATAAAAGCAGTTTTTTTATTTACCATTTTTAGGTTAAAGTTATTAGCCCCTTTAAGCTATTTTTTCTTTCGCTAGTCTACAGAACAAACCATCGTTATACAATAACTTGCCTAATTACCCTAACCTGCCTTGTTAACCTAATTAACCTAGTTAAGCCTTTAATGTCCCTTTAAGCTGTATAGAAGTGTCTTGAAAAACATCTAGTCAAATATTATTTACTGTCATCATGGCAAAGATAAAATAAATCAGTTATTAGAGATGAGTTATTAAAACTATTATAATTAGAAATGAGTTGAAAAAAAATCTTCACTCTGTTAAACAAAAATTGGGGAAAAAATTAAACAGGGGGGCTAATAATTCTTACTTCAACTGTATATAAGCTTTATATTTAATATTGTTATATATCAACAAGTCTAAATGTGTTCATACTAGTATACACTGCAAAAAAATCTGTTCTTAGAGATTTATTTTGTCTTGTTTCGAGTCCAAATATCTAAAAAAACTCAAGAAGCCTTAGACAAGCCAACAATTAATAGTTTTGATTTCAGAAATAATAAATCAAAATGAAGTGAAACAAGCTAAATAATCTGCCAATCAGTCTTTACTTACTTCAGTGGCTGATTATTTTAGTTTTGACTTGTCTAAAAATGCTTCTTGATTTTAGAAATGTATTTGCTGCCAGGTTGCTGCCAGAAGTGATGTTACGCCCCAGTCACACGGGGCGTCAGCTTCAACGCTTCCCATTCACTTTAAGTGGGTGACGTCAAGCATTGCCGAACTTTGGCACTTCACTGGTATTGCTCGCTGCAGAAGTTGGGACTTGCTCAACTTTTAAAGCGTCAACGGAAGTGTCAGCCAATTAGATCTCAGTATGCAAATACTAATTTCATTGACTGACACTGCTATGAAGATCGCGTCAGCCTCAACTTCAGACACGCCCTCTGTCAAGCATTGACGCTGAAGTCCCGTGTGAATGGGGCGTTAGTGAGGCCAGCAGGAAGTGTTCAACCTTTGGTCTGCGTGGGTCCTAACGCCCCAGTATATTGAAGGGAAATTTGCTCACTGGCCTCTGTCCATCATGGCCTCCTAACCATCCTCATATCATAATTGGCTTCATCACTCTGTCTCCTCTCCACCAATCAGCTGGTGTGCGGTCCGGTGCAATTTTGCAACCATTGTGACATCCAGGTGGATGCTGCACACTGGTGGTGGATGAGGAGATTCCCCTTAATGTGTAAAGCGCTCTGTCTAGAAAAGCGAAAGATAAATGTAAGGAATTATTAATTATTATTATTATTATTAAATATCTTAATCACAATACTCAACAACTATATCAAATATTGCATATTTTCCCAGTAGGCCTATCATGCAGCCCTAGTTTGAATACCGAATGAATTATCGACTTTCGTTATTTTCACTCATTGTTGCGTTCAGAACGTCTAATCTTGCATTGAATCAGCCCTCAAAACATATCCAGCCATTATAACCAGGTCAGAAAAGTTTGACTTCTTTTGTAACTTATGAATATCTTCCTTCTTACTTTTGACC